GTCCATGCTGCGCAGGCTGGGGAGGAGGCACCATTGCGGCCCAGAGTGGGGGGGCGGCAGGTTGGGGGCTGCCCTCCGTGAGCCCCTTGGCCATCGGACCCCTTAGCAGCCTGGGGCCCAACGGGGACCCGCCATCCCTGTGGCCTTGTGTACCATGCAGCGTGCCTGGCTTTCCCACATCCCCTGACCCAGGTCACCGCAGCCCCTGCCCCGCAGCAGGGTCTGGGGAGCGCGCCCCGGGTCCGTGGTCAGAGATGTGCAGGGTGGGCCGGGCCGGGGGTGGCCTGGCCCAGCCCAGTGGGACGGCGGCTCCTCGGCCCCCCTGGAAGGCTCCAGCCACCGAGATGTCAGGACTCCTCTAGGCAGCCGGTGCCCCGCCACGCTCTTCGCTGTCACGGTGCCAGAAGACCAGCTTGGAAATCAAGAAGTAAACGGGAAAATAAAACCTCTGGATGCTTTGAGCCGTCCCTTTGTGAGGATCGGGCCTGCCCAGGGCTCTCGCCGGTGCCCAGGCAGCCGATCCATTTGGGAATCACAGGATCCCAGCGCCGTGGGGCTGGCAAGGAGCTCCAGGTCACGTCTAGTCCAAGCCCAGCCTGAGGCAGGATCAGCCCCGTCCAAACCAGCCCAGACAAACCCTGTGTCCGAGCTCTTCGTAAGACCACTGTCAAGCCTGAGACAGCACAGGCCTAACGCCCGGGGAAGCAGCGGGCCGCGGCCCCAACGTCCTGCTTCTCTAAGGTTGTCAACTTCCACCCGTTGCTCCGCGCCCGCTGCAGCGAGAACAGGGGTTTCCTCCCCGCTCCCACAGCCCTTCGGGGACTCGCAGGCTGCCGTCGGGGCCCCTCTTAGGCGCTTTCTCTGCAAGCTGACCCTGCCCAGCTCCTCCAGCCTCTCCTCGCAGGACTGGCCTGCCAGGCCGGGACCATCTTTGCTGCTTCTGGACCTCGTGTCTGTTTTAAAACATGGAGCCCAGAACTGCACGCGGTGCCCAGGCCAGGCCAGGCCAGGCCAGGCCCCAGACCCTCAGCTGCTGCCTGCGTAGAAGAGCTGCTGCTCTCGCTGCGCCGTCCCAGCAGGGCAGAGGCGTAGCAAGCACCTCGCGCCCTGGGCAGGCTCCGGACCCAGGGTGGGGGGCAAAGGCTCGTCCCCTCCCAGCCTCCCTGGGCTCCCCCGTGCACGACAAAGGGAGCCAGGCAGGACTCGGTGCTGGCCAGGGGGTGGTCGGCTCCAGGGGAAGAGGCGATGCAGCCGCGGACCAGACCCCAGAGACACCGCAGGCTGCTGCCTGGCCTGTCCCAGCCACGCTGCCTCCTGGGACCCTGGGCGGGCGCCTACAGTCGCAGCTCTCTGCTCCTCGGGGCTCTGGGCTGTTCCTGGTGCCGGCAGCTCGCTGGGGCCAGGCCGGGAGCACAGGCTGTGCCGGCTGCAGGGGCCTGGGCCAGTTGCTTTTCTGGCTGCGCTCCCATCGGACACCCCTGCTGCAGTCTGTCGTAGCTGCGGTCCTGAGGCCTGGCTGCCTGCTGGCTCCACGTTCCCCAGCAAACCTCCCCGCGCTGGGGTAGCGCCACGAGCGGGCTCTTCCCTGGTTGAGGGATGCTCTGCAGCTGTCCCCTCACCCCGGAACGAGCCCCTTTAGGGACTTCTGGGCTCTCCCATGCCCCACTTCACCCCTCAGATGCGGCTCAAGCCACTTGTCTCTGCCCTGCAGAGCGGGCGCTGGGGGCCCATGGCTGGAGCAGAGCCGAGCCGAGCCGTGCTCTTGTTGCAAGGCCAGCAGCCCCCCGGGCTGCATTCACAGCTGTGCCACTCACATGTGGAGGGCAGCGACTGCTCAGCCCTGGGGCCCCACGTCCTACAAGGACAGGGACAGATGGGAGTCCAGCACAGGGCAACAAAATGGGTCAGCAGCCTGAGAGAGAAGACTGAAGACAGGCTGGGAGAGCCGGGGGTATTTGGCTTGGACAAGAGAAGCTCGAAGAGCCCTCCAAGGCAATGAGAGGGGACGGAGAGGGGCTTTTCTCAGTGGGTGCAGGAGGCAGGACTGGGAGCAACGGCCTCAAGCTGCAGCAGAGGAAACACAGGCTGGAGAGGAGTAGCTGCCCAACACCGAGGGTGGTCTGACACTGAAACAGGCTGTCCTGTCTAGAGGCTCCCCATGCCTGGAAACTGCAGAGCAGGGCGTGCAGACCTGCGGGTGGGCAGGTTGAGCTGGGGACGGTCCTGCCTCGAGCAGGGGTCACTGTGCAGTCCTGCGAGGTCCCTTCCAGCCCTGCTCCCCGACAAGCCTGTGACCCAGGGTGGGCAGACACGCTCCCTGGAGCAGCACTTCCCTTTGTGCCTGGGGCAGACTAGGGGAGAGCAGCACCCATTCCCTCC